GGAGGCCAGAATGCCAGAGACAAACATCCACCCCTTCCTGCCAAAACCTTACCACCCTAGAGTGCACACTGAGTGGGGCACTTCCTGGAAGGGTGGGTTTGAAGATAGGTCTGTCTTTGAATGACTGATGGTCAGAACTGAGCCCCAGATGGCGACTGAAACAGGTTTTGCCTATTTGCCATCTCTGTGGCTGCCTAAAGTATTGTGAGGTCAAGTTTAGGTTCAGTAGGGAAGAATCTGTAATAAATTAGTAATGAGGGCCATGGTTTAGGAAAGGAGTGTGGTGACACACCATTAGCTACATGACATCCCTGGTCCAGGTACCAAAGCTAGAACCTGGTTAGACATTGGCAAATCAGACAACCTAGCATCTTGAATTGGATGGGAGATGTTTGAGGTTCTCTCAGGATTTCTAACTCCATGGAATGCCTTTGTGGCACCACCTCACCAAAAATCCAACTCTTTCATTTATCCCCAGCTCCATACTGTGGTCTCTTCACTCTCCAAACCAACTTCCTTGGTCATAGGAAAATACAGCAGGTGAGCTACCTCCATTTCATCCAAGGAGCCAGCGGAAGGGAAAGGGCCACCTGAACAGTTAAAGGGCTTTAAGACCCCTTCAATGGCATCACAGAGACAACTATCTAATTACTTATGCATGAAACCCATCCTAAGAGGGCAGAGGGCAGGAGGCTAGGGCAATCAGGATAAGAAACAAGTTGGTACTAGATCATAGGTAGAACAACAGAAGGGAAAAAGCTTGTAAAGCCCAGAGGTGCTGCTTCAATGTTCCACAGTAAGAGGCTGCTGAGTACTGAGGCCCAGAGAGGTTGGGTGATTTGTTCTGGGCCACACAGCAAGGGAGTAGCAGAGTTAAGGCTAGGCACTTGGACTCCTGGCTTCCTAGCTGGTGTTCTTCCCACTTATGTCTTTGTTAAATAAGAGAGGAGAAAGGGCTGGAGTGAATTATTCTATACCTAGATATACTCTTTAAAAGTGCTCAGATCAAAAAAAATCAAATCAGAGATGAAATCAAATCCACATTTCCCAGCAACCCATGACTTCACGCGTCATCACCAGCTGTAAACAGAGGCTGAGACCAGGTGAGAAGCAGTATTGTTCCCAAAAAATCAGAGGAAAAGTAGAGCTCATGAGTATGATTGGTGGGAGGGTGTGACAAGAAACAGGAGGTAACAAGACAGAGTAGAAAGAAGTAGGAATAGTAGAAAGACTTTTCCACCTATAAGACCCTTGGAAGAGCTCCATTTAGGGAACAGAAGAGGAAGATGTTACAACATAAGGCATTGACTCTTCCAGAAGCTGAGGAGGCATGAGAGAAGGATGGAGGGTGGCTGAAGTTGGGGAAGCATGTGAGTGTTTGTCCTAAAGAAGCTCCCTTTCCTCCACACCTTTCCCCTTCATCCCCACCACGGACTGACTTTTATACCCAATGACTGTATCCAGTATATGTAAGTATGTCTTAATGGGCAGGGAAGATGCTTGCAAGGTTTTGATACTCAGAAAGGGATTGGAACTGGGAAGTCCTGGCAGAGGGCCAAGCTCAGATTCCTAACTCTGGATGCCAGAAATGACCTAGAGAGGCTTGAAGAGTTCAACCTGGTCCTTTAGGGAGTGTGGCTTTTGGGATTTGGAGTTGTCCATGTATATCTCAGTGTGTTTGTGAGTGTTCAATGGCATAATCTGTCTCTTGGGATCTGTGTGCACATAGGAATCCTGTGACCATTCCTGATGAGTCTCCATGTGTCCTGAGTTAATCTTCTCTCAGTACCACTAGATGTGTCTGGTTGGGGGAATTTTGACTTCTGTGTCACCTCTGCCCTGATTTCTCAACTTCCCTGCTTCCTCTCCCAGGGAGTGTTCCTGTCAGTGAACTTGCAGCCTTAACACCTTGCAAAGGAGCCTCTGGTGAACTTCAGGCAATCTCTGCTCTCCTGGAGCCTACTGCCCCCACTGGTTCTGAGAGTGAGATAATTAGCCTCTCTCCAAAGCCCAGAGGTTCTGAAGGATGGCCCATGGATGCCCCAAATCTCTCATTACTGTCCCTGCCACTTCTGTGACACCTCCTGGCAAGGGTACTCTGTAGTGCTACCCAAAGATGCTGGGACTTGAGGGTGACTACAGTGTTGCTCCTGTCCCTCCTTTCCCATCATGTTCCAGTGATGCTAAATGGCTCATGGCTCCCCAACTTGCCATCCTTACCACTCAGTGATTTTCACAGACCCCCTCTCTGTCAGGGATGACCCCCCTACCCCGACCTTGACTGCATCACAGGGAAAGGTGGAGAAGCACCTCCTACTGCCTTCCTTAGCTGTGTCATAAGGAAGAAATGTCAGTCCTAGTCCCTGCTAGAAAATCAAACCCAAGACCACAAATGTCCATTACCTACACTTTAGGGGAGGGAGAGGATTGGGCATCCAACAGCTTCTACTGGGGGGCTTGGAGAAGAAGCTGAGATCTGGGTAGAAGGAGGGGATTTCCAGCTGGGGGCTCTTACACAACCCTTGGTGACATCTCCTATGCTATGTCCCTTAAATATTTTGATCTGGCATAGCACACTGGGTGTCCTCAGTACCTCTGGGGGCAATAACCATATCTAAGTCTACTTCATCCCATATCTCTAAGGAGTAAATGAACAATGCAAGTAGAGCATTTAGACTCAGCACCCAGCTTATTGTAAGCACTCAATAACTGTCAGCTATCATAATCTGATATTCCAAATCTTATTTATCTTTCAAGGCCCACTTCAAGTGTAGCCTCCTCTGTAGAACTTCCCACATAAAATTGAGACATGTCAATCTCTGGATCCTCTTCAGAGGATCGTGTTCTCAAAGTGTGGCCCCCATACCACCAAAAACAGCTTCACCACAAACCTTGTTAGAATTGCACATTCTCAGGCCACCCCAATCCAGGTTTCTGGGGCCATACAATCTGTCTTTTAACAGACTTCCAGAGGAAACAAAAGTTTGACAACCACTATTGTGCTATTTTCTTTGTATTCCAGCATTGTACTAATCATAGCCTGACATGAATTTTCGCTGTAAGTTCCTTGAGGGTAGGGACCTTGTTTTATATTCTGAGGAAATGCTGGGTAAGTCCTTGTGAATCTGACTTAGGTGAGCACTTTAATTAGACTTCATCTGAGTAATTTCTAACCTCCTATTCTTCCCTGATCCTGTCTCTTGATCCCCTCAACCTTCTCATCCACCCAAGGCCGTGAGGAAAATCTTACCGGCCTACAGTAAAAGAAAATCATCTTCCTTCCTTCATTCCTGCATCCTTTATTTCCTTCCTCCCCTACTTCCATCTTCCCCAGTACCCACTTTGGGCTCATGAAATTGGCAGTGAGTGTAGAATAATAGTAAAAGTACTTATGAGTGTCTGAAAACTCCAGATATTAAAAAAGTTTCAATCAGGGGTATGAAATATTGTCTCTGCACCAGTAACATTGCAAAGACTTTAAAAACTTTCTAGGAGCTTCTCAGGTGGAGTTGATCTCTCAAAATGCAGAACCAGGGCAAAGAAGTCTGGTCCAAACCCTCTTGTACACAGAGTCCTTCAAGGACAGCTCTGAGTATCTTGCTTACACTATGACCCACTGCATTATAGCCAAGTGGAAGAGAGTATAGGGTATGAGAACTCCCTTTAATACCTTCCCCATTCTGCTGTACTGGCTATGGGGCTCCCTCTCTCTGCCCTGTGGGCGGTATAACTAGAAGATGCAGTGATTGTGGCCAATGACATACATATGTTGCATAAACATGTTATTTAGTCAACCTGCCAAGCCAGACTTGGTTCTCTCTGTGCCCAACTAAAGCCAATGATTTCCAAACATAAGCTTTCCCAGGGAACACAGAAACTGTGAACACAATACAGGCTATAGGAGGGAGATCATATAATTTGGACACTTTTAAGAGTGAAAGGAGACACTAGTATCAATTACATCAGAACATCAGACATAAACTGAGGCATATGGTCACCTTATGTATCAGCCATTATTTCTTCCCATGAGGGCCAGGCCGTGGATGAGGATGTGAGGAAGGGAGTTTTTGCATCTCTTGGCCCCCATCCCCTCTGCTGACTATTAAAAAAACAAGGAACAGGAAGCAACTAGGAAGTAGTAAGTCCAGCTAAATGTACCACTTACCAGGTGCTTTATCTATAGTGATACATAGAGTGCTATGAGACCTTATACCTCAATCATCTTTGAATTGGATTATTTCATCTGTGCTGACCACACCCTGGACATATATTGGTAAGCAGAGTTCCAGGTGTCACAGCTAGAAAAGCTGATTCTAGAACCAAGGACTTGGGTTCAAAAGCCAGAGCTCATCTATTGCCTCACACAGCCTAGTCATGGGGCAAGCAAGGTGAAAACAGGATTGAAATGCCTGGGAGGGTAGGCACAGCTATGTATCACCTCCTAGTACATGTACCAGCAGTCACTTTGACAGATATAGAGAGTATCTGCGCCTTTGTCTGACATTCACAAGTATTTGGGTGAGCATTTACTATGTGTAGTTACTATCAGGGGTCTATAGACACAGCAGTGAACAGAATGGAGTCAGCCACTATACACATAACAGATCTAGCTTGCATTCAACGTCCTATACACTCTAACCTTAACCTGCCTTCTCACTTCACCTCCTGCTATCTCAAGCTTTGCCAGTGAAACACTCTTCCCAACTGGTCCCAGAATTCAAGGTCATGGACATTCAGGGTTGCATCTGACATCTAGAATGTCCTCCTTGCTAGCATCCCTGACTGCTCTTGGAGGCCCATCTAGTCCTTCCCCTTCTCCATGCCTTTCCTTGGGCTGCGCCCTCTTATCTGAGGCACAACGCCTCCCCCCCCCACCCCCATCCACCCCTCCCTGCCTTCTGCTCAACACTGTGTATTGTTAAGTAGTGCTTTTGTCACCTAAATGGATGATAAACTCCTTCTGGGCCCAGATGCTAATATCCACAGCAAAGAATCAAGATCCCATAGCACACTTGGGCTTTTACTGCTGCCTTTTGTATTTCTCAAGTCACATCTATTAAAACCTCTCCACTGTGTAAGCTCTGTACCACCTCTGCATCTTACTCCCTGAAGATAACTTCATCTCTACAGTACAGAGATACGTAGAAGCACTGGGATCAAACTCTCTTAACTCTCTGAACTCATAAACTTACCTGGAGTTGAAGTGATTCCTGCCTGCTTTGTACCTGTCACAATGGAATGTCTTCACATCAGGCTAATCGTTCTTCTAGCCATGGCGTGATTCCATCAACCCCAACCTTCTCAGAGGTCTGGCACTAAGAATTATGTTCTATTCCTTCTATTTCTCCAAGTTCTGGCTTTCTATTTTTATGTAATTTTTAAAAAACCTTATTGATTTGAGAGAGACAGAGACAGCGTGAGGGGGGTGGCAGAGAGAAGGGGAGAGAAAGAGAATCTCAAGCAAGTTCCATGTTGCCATCGCAGAGCCATACACAGGGCTCAAACTCACGAAACCATGAGATCATGATCTGAGCTGAAATCAAGAGTTGGATGATTAACAGACTGAGGCACCTAGATGCCCCATGGCTTTCTATTATTCTCTCACATGAGCACTTAAACATGTGCAGATCTGCCATTTGAAAAGCAACACACCAGCTCCTAAACTCCATTCCCCCCACCCTACCTAGAAATCACTGCCCTTCCTCCTATTCACAGACAAGCTTATTGAAAGAGAAGGCCATACTTACTATTGTCAATTGCTCATTTCCCACTTATCCTCTGTCTATAGAAGCTTGGTTTTCTGTCTTTGATAATCCAATAGAAATGTTCTCCAGGGATGTTAATAAATCCAACTGACACTTTTTAATAATTACAAACTCAACCTCTCAGTCACTTCATGTTTGTTTGTTCTTTTTTTCTCACTCTATTCTTTTTGAGACACACTTTCCTTGGCTTATATGATACTATGATCCCTTGGCTTTCCTCCTATCCCCGTGGCTTCTCTCTCTGTCACGTTTCCCTCCTTTGACCTGAAAGGTTAGTGTTCTTCAGGATCCCATCTTGGACCCTATCCTCTGGTCCTGGTTGGCCCATACTTTTCCCATGGCTGCAGTCGTATCCACATGGTGATAACTGGATCTGTGTCCATAGCCAAACCTCTCTCCTGAGCTCCTGACCTGAATATCCAACTGCCTGCTGGCCATCTTTACTGAGATAGGCCGCCACATCTCAAACTCAACATATCTGAAATGGGATTCACCATTTTCTCTTCCTTGCCATTACCCACCTTCCCCCAGCATGTCTCTCCCTCTAGGCTCTTAGTCTTAGAGAATAGTACAACGGTGACCAAGCCAGAATCTGATTCTAAGAAACCTGACCAAGCTCAGAGCCTTTATCCTTCTCACTCTGATACCTGACCACTCGCTAAGACCTCTTATTACGGATTTTCCTAAAAACCAGCATTTCCTTCTGACTCCACTGCCACTGTCTTATGATCTATGTTTCTATCATACTTCCCTTAGGATATCAATAGGCCTGTTATTTGCTCTTTCCCAACCCTCCCAAAGCTTCTCTGTTGCCCAAAAATAAAATTAAAATTTCCTAACATGGCAAAGAAGGCCTTCATGATTAGAACTATTCCTCTTTGTATCTCCATATTATATGGCATCAATGCCTTCCCTCACCTCACCCTTCCCTCCATCCATTTTGATTGACTTGAGTTCTATAAATGTGTAGTATTCTTCCACTGACCCACTTCCCAGGTTTTCCCTGCTCTATAGGCCTAAATTCCTGAGACTTTGCTGAAACAGGGCTTCCACTCGGAGGCTTTCCTATGTCTTCAATACACCCTCTGCTTAGTCTTTTAACAGTGTTAATCACATTGCAGTGCAGGTCCTTTGTAGTCATACCCCTTTCTCAACAGATTATTTTATACACTGTTCCCCCAGACCAGAGCTCAATAAATGTTTGTTGAAGAGATAGATAAGTATGTGTTTAAAAATCATATTCTAGAAAAATAAATAAATAAAAATAAAAAATAAAAATCATATTCCATTTTATGGTCCATGGGTTCATGAACTACCCGTTCCTAGCAAAAACACCACAAGATACTACACAGTGCACATTTATAAACTTTTTCATCCCTAACCCCCATGCCCAGGGGTCTTCTTGGAACACACTGGGTAGACTGGAATCTATCTATGACAATTTAGGCCCCAGTGTTCTTTAGAGAAGGCTTCTCTGTGTGGCACTTGTACCTCAGTGGCTCCCTAGTCTGGTTCAGGGCCTTGGATGTGTTGGTATTTGAAGGCTTGTGTGTTAGACCTTCCTCACATGGTAAGAGTACAGTTAAATGACCTAACCTGCTGGGGCCAAGAGTATGCATTAGATTCAACACCTTTATTGATGCTGTATTTTTCTAAGTCATCTGTACTCTGAGCTCCATTCTATAAAGAGAATCTGTGAAGAGACCCATTGTGCTGATTTGCCTGGGACTGTGCAAATTCCTGGGATAGTAGACTTCAGTATTAGAATGTGGAAAGTCCCAGTAAAACCCAGATGAGTTAATGGCCTTATCTAGTTAGGAAATTGGGCTTAGCACAAAGAAGACTGAATTAGTCCTCAGTAACACCTTGATCTGGCCCTTGGCTTCTCATTGTGTGGCTCCCTGGGCTGATGCTATAGAAAACAGAGAGAGAATGGCTACATGTGTGTGTGTCTCAAATGGTTCACCCCTCAGGGTTGTGATCTTGGGCTTGTTAAAGGAAGTGTCTGTAGGGCAACAGTGGAGGGCAAAGCCCAGTCCATTCCTCCTCAATTCATTGCTTTCCTTCGGACCCAGAGCAAAGTGAGCAGGGAGTAAGTAAAGGCCTGAGCAAGAGGAGGAGGTCTAAAAGGATTTGGGAAGGAGAGATCCCAAGGGGTGAAGGGAAACCTGGGAGAAGGGAAAGAGAATGAAAAAAGAGTGTATGAAAGAGGGGAGATGGAAAGTAGATAGCAGCAAGAGGAGGAGAAAGGGCCTTCATTGTGATGTAAATGCAGTGATTGGGAAGGGGGTGGGAGCTGAGTAAGAAGGGGGAGGGTACTGTGCAGAAACAGTAGTGGAGATGAAGGCAAAGATTATATCATAGCTGTTGGTTATGGAGATCTGATTTCTTTTGTGCAAGTGTCACATGCCTGGTGAACTGTTATTAACTAAGAGAAGTCAGGGCTTAGTAGCAAGGAGGTATGTGGTTGAATGCATCTTAGAATGGTAGAAGAGATCATGGGACTGGAGCACATTTTAATAGGAAAAACCATATTTAAAGCTACTAGGCACTTACCCCTAACCCCATTACCACCACCAACAAAAAAAGTGTAAAACTTCCCGCAGGTTTTCAAGAAATAATATAATCCTGGGATAGATTTGTTCTGTTTTATACATTTTAACATATAATGCCTTGAAAAGGGAACTAAGGACTGTTAAAGGGGGCCCAGGATAGGATATCAGGATTGAAAGTACGCATATAAAGCTGGTATTAATTTTAACAGAACAAAACAAAAGAATGGGGCTTTTAATTGGGAATATTCATTTTGAAGGTTCTACTTCAGGAGGATTTTCCCTTAGAGAGTTTAAGGGAGGAGAGGAGAGTGGCAGAAAATTCCTGCAACCCCAGGTGGGAAAACTATCCTAAAAGCATACTTTTCTCTGTTTCTACCTATCCCAGGGACAAGAACCTTGTGCAAGATCCAAAACAACAGTATTTATCAGCATCTTGGAAATTTCCCAGGGGGGTTATCCCTGTCTATTGCCAATTCTGGCTTGGTGCAAAGTTGGGGAATTCTGGGACTGGAGGGAAGCTGGAAATAGGAGAATGTGTGTGAAGCTCCTCCATGCAATCAGGAGTGTCCTGGGGTGCCTTGGGAACGCATTGAAGAAATAACGCTATCAGCTGCGAGTCCCCTGGAATGTCTCACTCACCACTGTATCATTTAGCAAAATGCCCGGTAACAGCTGGAGCTCAGTAAATGCTCACTGAATGAACTTCTTGACTTCGATTTCTTCTAGCTCAAATAGATCTTCCACACTGAAGCAACTGGAAGTTACCTTACTAAAACACAACATGATCAGTTCATGTTGAAGTCCTTTTCACCTTCTCCCCTTTGGAAAGTTGTCTTAATTTCCTTCCTCAGAGACCTGCACTCTCATTCGTGACTCTACATGACCCGAGTCCCAAGCCCCCTTTCCAGTTCTGTTCCCCACTTCACCCTGCACTGGTTCGTCACCCCATTTCCTTCAATACCACTCAGTATATAATACCCTCAGAGCTTTGCTTGCCTAGGCTGTTGGCTTAATTTAGAATTTCTTTCACAAGTTGTCTCTGACCCAAGCTTGTGATAATCCACTCTTCAAGGTCCCACTCAAATATCACTTCCTCCGTGAAGCCTTCCTGTTCTTCTTGCTTCTTTGCCGGTGATTTCACAAGAGAGAGACTGAAGCTATGGCAGCACTGATCTCATGTTACCTCTCAAGTCACTTGTTATTTACCTGTCTATCACCCCAGTAGGCTCGGGTTCTTGAAGCTCACACTTTGATTTGTCTCCACATATTCAGCTAAATGACTGTTAAATGAAGGAGGGAAGTAAGACAGAGAAGCTCAAAGTAGTTGGAAGAAGGAATGTTAGGGGAATGATGTTAGGAAAATATAAAATGACAGATACCTAGCTGTTTGCCTTAGAAATTGCTGCAATCGGCATTGAGTCCTTTTCCCCAACCAGCTTCCATCACAAGCAGTAGAACTGCCACTGATCACAGGAAGAGAGCAAAGGGATCTTTGGCCAAGGAAAATGTTCTCATCCCGTTAGGCAAACCCCACTCCACCATATGTCATCAGAGTAGAGATGAGATGGAAGTCCCCTACTTTTCTTAGTCCTCTCTAGAATTTCTAGGAATTGGCCCTGAACTTCTCACACATCCCATACTAAGGGTGTACCCTTCCTCCTGCTTTAATCTGCCCAGTAATGGTGCTAACTGAAGGGACTTCAGCTCCTTCTGCAGCCCTGTTCTGTCAGGTATAAAAGTCCTCTCTAATTTTCTGGATGTGGATACCGCTCCTGCTGGCATCCTTCCTTTGGAGATCAATTGTCACTCAGGCCTCATGAAAGGCCCCTTTCAACTCAATCATTCACTGTACCTCATTGTCCCTGTCCATTCATTAACATTCACTAGGATAATTCCCCTCACTGCCACATGCATAGAGACACGTGCACATGTGTTCAGGCCTCACTTCCCATTAGCAGTGAGGACACTTGAAATAAGGAGCAGTACTGCCTGAATGTGGGACTGCCCTCCCCCTCTAATAGCTGGGGAGTCTACTGCACTAATGTTATTTCAAGAAGTACCAGGAGAATTGGCAGCCTCTGCAGAGCAGCCAGGGAGGAAGGGGTGGGGGTGTTCCTGGCAGCTCCTGTCTCTAAAACACCATCAGCTACATCACTCCAGACAGTTACTGCTCCCGTCCCCTTCCCCCTCCACATTCCTCCCAGAGCCAGATAGTTCTAGAGATCTAGTCTCTGCCTTCCTCTTAGACATTAGCCTGGCATTCAAGGTTCTCCAGAAGACAGCTCTCAAGCACCTTGCACCTGTCTTATCTGCTATGTCCTCCTTGAATTCTACTCCCACCGAGAAGGTCTGGTCCTATGATCTTTAGCTTATACTTTGCTTATATATTTTTCCTAATCACTGCTTAGGGGCCAAGTGGTTGCAATGGCATGAAGAACTGTTATTCTACCACAGCAACTCAGCAAAAATGGTGCTTTTTCAACCTTTTTTAAGCTAATAGTTAACAAGATGAAGAAAGTCATTAGAGGAAGCAGAGGAAAAGTAAGACCATGAAGTGAGAAATACAAGAGAAAAGAGCCAGTGGAATGGTGGTGCTTTCATTATGGTCTATCACCTATCCACCAAAATACGGTCTCCACCCTCCGCATCCTGGTCCAAGAAGCAGAGCAATTCTCCTCTTAGTACTGAAATCTCAATACCAAGCCTTGCAGGACCTAATCTAGCCTTGCCTTTCCATAAGGGAAACATTCCCTGTCCCCAACCAGGACCCACTGTCAATCTGATGCCCATGGGCTTCTTGGAAGTACCCTCAATTGGCACTCTGCATGTGTACATACCATACTCAGATGAGATCTGAGATTTCTAGAGGGAAGAGGCATGGACTCATACCTCTGTAACCCCGCAGAGCACCTTGAGGGAAAAGTCTGCACCTTAGCAGTTGCTTCCTGAGCTTACTGGGCTTCTTTCTGATTAGACAGATGCAAATTGCTTGCCTACTCGGAGACAGTGACATTTGTTCTCTCCCAGGGAAGAGAGGACCTGGAAGGCAGTTGCTTTTGAAAGGGGCATTTTGTAACTAAAAGAACACAGGCTTTCAGGTCAGATAGATGTGGACTGCAACAGAACTCCATCACTGACTAGCTGTAAGAGCCTTTGGGAAGCTACTTCACTACTCTGAACCCCAGTTTTCTTTTTGCATTTGTAAATTCAGTTGGGTTTCTCAGCCTTGGTGTTATTGACAAATTGGATTAGACAATTCTTTATTGTGAGAAACTATTTCCTCTCCCCCCATATATATATCGGATGCCAATTACACCCACTCTCTGCCCCCCCTCCCCTGTCCATCTATGACAATTGAAAATGTCATGGACATTGCTGAATGTTCCCTGGGGGTAAACTCATTCCCAGTTGAAAACCAGATATTTACACCTTGAGGTTGTTCTAAAGATTAGATAATATGATAGCATATGTAAAGCATGTATCACAGCATCTAGCATATAACAAGGAATCAATAAATATTAGTCCCATCAGATATTTTAAGTAGAATTAGGCAGTTTTTCTTCCATCTTCACCCACCATGGAATGTCCCTGGGGCCTCAAAAGTTGGGTAGAATGGGGGGTGACTCTAGAAAGGAAGCTCAGTAGAAGGTGTCTAAGCCCAGTGATCTCTCCACGGCGTTCAATGGCTTCAGATGAGACATTTTATGGACATTCAAGTGTGTCTTAGAAGTGTTCAGGGGAGGGGAGCCTGGGTCTCAGTCAGTTGAGCGTCTTACTTCAGCTCAGGTAATGATCTCACAGTCTGTGAGTTTGAGCCCCGCATCGGGCTCTGTGCTGACAGCTCAGAGCCTGGAGCCTGCTTCACTTTCTGTGTCTCCCTTTCTCTCTGTTCCTCCCCTGCTTATGCTCTGTCTCTCTCTCTCTCAAAACTAAATAAACATTAAAAAATAAAATATATTTTTAAAAAGTGTCTCAGGGGAGAAGAGTGATGTAGCTGGAGGCACATAGGGACACGAGTTCAGGAGTTTCCCTAGAGAGCCTTTTTGGTAAGTAGGCTGCCCATTTGTGCTTCAATGTGCTCTTCCCCACCTGGTTTTCTTTTCTTTTTTTTTTTTTTTTTTTTTTTNATGAACAGGGGAGGGTCAGAGAGAGAGGGAGTCACAGACTGAAACAGGCTCCAGGCTCTGAGCTGGCAGTCAGCACAGAGCCCGACGCGGGGCTCGAACCCACGAACCGCGAGATCATGACCTAAGCGAAAGTCGGATGCTTAACCAACTAAGCCACCCAGGCGCCCCTCCCACCTGGTTTTCTAGGGAGAGATACGGCCCATTCCAGATGCAGGAGAATGGCTTATGTAGAGAAGCAGTTTATACGAGCAAGGAGAGAATGTGGAAGATACAACTGAGACACTAGCTTGGCTGGAGCACAGGAAGGAAGGACTCAGGAAGCTGGCTGTAACTGTAGACCCCAGCGGATAGCCTTCTTGCCCACCCTGCCCTCAGTGCATCTGGGCTTTGCAACTGCCATATTCTACCTGGTCAACTCTAGGAATCTCTACTAGGGTGGGAAAACAGAGGAAGGACAGAAGTCTCCAGAAGTAGTATTTAATTCAGGCCTAGGATACATAGATTTAAATCTTCCAAGTCTACAGTCAGCTTCTAGCTTCTGTGAGAGGTAAAACTGACCCAAAATAGGAAATTTCAGAGTTGTCTAAGCTATAAATACCCCAGCTCAATTTTTTAAAATATTTATTTAGTTAGAGAGTGGGGAGGGGCAGAAAGAGAGGGAGAGAGAAAATCCCAAGCAGACTCCACATTGTCAGTGAAGAACCCAATACAGGGCTCGATCCCAAGAACTGTGAGAACATGACTTGATCTGAAATTAAGAGCCAGACGCTCAACTGACTGACTCACCCAGCACCCCAGCAACTCAATATTAGGTATTTTTTTAAATGGTGAAGTAGAAAGAACAATGGACTCAGGTCTTGAATTGCTCCTCTGGGCCACTGGCTGGTTGTATGGTCCTGAGTGAGTATTCTCTCTGGGGCTCCCCTTCAATCTGCTCTTAGGCAGCACTGCAACTGTTCTTTCCAAGGAAGACTTTGAGAGGCTATGGTGAGATCAGCAAGCAAACATGCTTTGAGAAGAGAGAAAGAATTATTGGTGCATTCCCACCACCAAGTTCAGCCTCATGCTGAGGAAAACAGGCCTTATCAGAGCCATCTGAATGGGAGTCATTGGCTGAAAGGACTCAGCTCCCAGTATGAGGACAGATCAAGGTGGGCCACCTCTTGGGAGCTGGAGTGGAGCTGATCTCCAAAGTTTATCAAAGTTAGTGTATAATAGGAGCTGGGAGAGAGGTCTAACAGAACAGGTGAGGAAGAAAGAGTTGGTTGTAATTTTAATCATTAGATTAGCCAAGAAAGGGTAAACACATGTCAGTTTCACTCTTTTTTAAATGAGGAGGGAGTTGAGATCTAAAAGTCACAAAGGAACATTCCTCACTTGTATGTGTTGCTCATGAGGAGCTGTGACCTGACCCATGGGTTCCTGGCCCACTGTGATTCCTTTTTCTGCACTTTCTCTCCCTTCCCTTCCTGAGGGCCTACATCATCTCATGCCTAACATGTGGTGACAACCTTTAAGAAGGCCTGCCTCCTCTCTTTGCACTAACCCATTCTGCACAAAGGCCTTCTAAATACA